CAAGAAAAATAAGAAAATGATGCTACCAAGGTACCTTTTAGTTTTTTATACCTTTTATTTTATTATTTGGACAAAAAATACTTGTTATATTACCTTTTTTTTTTTTGTTATAAGAAATGCTTGTTGTATTACTTTTTATTTTTTTGTTATTTTGTTTTTATTTTTTTGATAATATTATTTTCTTCTTTTTATTTTTTTTGAAAACAAAGTATTACCTTTCAATTTTTATGTTTTTCCTTCTATTTTTTTTGACAACATTATTTTCTTCTTTTTATCTGTTTTTCTTCTTTTTATGTTTTTTTGAAAACAAAAATAAGCGCCCAGGTTCAAACTTGGGACAGCCAAGACGAAATCGTAAGTGATAACCAATTGCCACCACGCCACCGAGTGTCTTGCTTTCCATAATAATGGTATATATTGAATAACCGTCTCAATGTTTTATTACCGTGTTCGAATTCCACATCAAAAAAGTAGAAGAAGTTTGGGGGGAATAAATAACTCACTCATTAGCATGTTTAGAAAAGTGGGCAACGCGAAGTAACAGAAGTTTGAGGGGAATAAATATCTCCTCAATACGTCACTCGTTAGCGTGTTTAGAAAAGTGGACAGCGCGATGTAGTATGTGGTACACGTGGCTTTCGTCGATTTATAGTCGACTAGTGATGTCATACTCCAATACGTGATGTCATTCGAACGATGGACTATTCAAAGCCAGTGATTATCCTCTAGAACCAGCCGAGTCTACTCTTTTCTTTTTAGAGAAATCGACACGGGATGACCGATTCCCATATCAAACCGGGCAAGTCCGTTTTTACTTGCCCCCATATCGAACGGGGCAAGTCCGTTTTTACTCGCCCCCCATATCGAACCGGACGAGTCTCACTGCATGAGACATTAACTTAGAAAAATTATCATAAACAAAATTGTAGCATTCATTGATTCTTGCACAATTTGATGAAATTATTGAAGCCATCCATTGCAATGTCTGAACCCATTCAGAGCGATGCACAATTTAAATTATTGAAGCCATCGATTGCAATGTCTGAACCCATTCAAGATACCCTCTTGAAGTGCTCGAAGCAACACTTCGAACCACTGATATGATACGCCTCCAACGTATTGGCAAGTATTGCTCTGGAAGTTGGAAAACGTTACACACTTTATGGAGAACTCGAATGGCATGTTTGCAGATAATACCTGTAAACTCGAATTTTTGGCAGCTGCAAAAAAATCATATCCTCGGGCATTAAAGTAACCTTATGCCCATGTTACTTCTTTGAATAGTGAGTAACCTCATAAGTTGCTTCATCGATCTGATTTATTGCATATTGGGATGATGCCACAAGTCCCTGTTGCAGCAATGAAAAGGGATAAGGAGTCAGAAAACGAGATTTATGTTCTTCAACTGCTGTATTAGTTAGCAGAGTGATGTTGTGATACTTTTGATTCATTGTATGCCAAAAAATTACTTGATCTCTGGTGTTTACAACATCTTTAATCTACAAAAATCAAGAAAGCAAATAAGTACAAAATAATATATAATTATAGATAATCACAATGCTATCACAAAAATTTAAGTATTCACATACTTGATGTGTGACTTCCTTGAGTGGGGTTTGTGGCTTTAGGTCACTTCTTGTGGTTGCAATAAGTCGTGATTGTGTTCATTCACAATTGTCGCCATGCTCCAATATGAGAAAGTTGAAACAATTACTTTCCTAATTGTCATGCGGGCGCCATAACCACATCTCGTTAGCTTGAAATTCCTTACTCCTTTCTTTTCACTTGGTCCCTTATGTGTCATGTAGCCAGCACGATGTCATGCATAAAACCTTCTAACAATATCGCCTTTTTTTCTAATTGATTGCTGTCTTCGAATGGAAAAACCCAGATTTTTTGCAAATTTTTTATAAAATTCATATGCCTCAATCAGTTGTAAAAATTTGCCCAGTGAATGGTATTAGATCATTGCTAATTTCTAACATCTCTGCTTGGGGTAATGAAGAAAGTGTGGCTTCCTGTAAAGAATCTTCCATTCTTTTTTATCCATGACATATAATCCAAGAAAAAGCATTTAAAGTTGAACATGTGCTTTGCAATAGTAACAACAAAAATATTTATCATACATATGGATAATGGACCAAAATTTATTATACATGGATAATTCAACACAAAATATATCATACACATGGATAATCCATAGGGGCTACAATGCCCACGCCATAGTAAGTTGTATCAAGACAGAAATATTTGGTGTTTTACTCTCTACAATGTTAGCAAGTGCCCTTTGCGTATGGGGATACACAAGAAAAACCTAATTTTTACAACTCACTTGTATCACAGTTTAGTGTTTTATAGCTCTAAAACAAAAGATACATATTTTATTTTCTTCCAAAAGAAACAACCACATTTAAACCGTTCTTTCTAAAGATAAACCCAAATCGTTCTTTTTCACATACTTGAATTTAAGTTTTTTCTTTTATTTACTGATTTAATTCTCATCTGTTAATGAGTACATAAAAATTAGAAATTGTGGACTCCAAAAACTAATTTTGAAAATAGATTTAACATAAGAAAGAAACCTAATAGGGCATACCTGCATAAGAAGAATATTTTATAAATCTAGGACATGTTAAAAAGCACTTACAAAAGCTCAGAGTCATTGGATGCCCTGCATTTTGCAATAGGCTATAAACCCAAACGAAGAGAGTGTTCAAGAGCAAAAAAAACCCAAATATTCTTATTCAAAGAAAATAAACAAAGTATAGAGAAAACAAAAATCTAAATTCATACCCCAGTTCTTTTGGTGGTTGAAGTTATAAACTCAAAAGAAGAGAATGTTCAAGAGCCAAAAAAACCCAAATATTCTTATTCAAAGAAAATAAACAAAGTACAGAGAAAACGAAAATCTAAATTCATACCAAAATTCTTTTGATGGTTGGAGTTATTTTGCCATGAGATAGGGAGTGCAGCAAATCTAGAGGGAGAGCATGGAGAGAGAATGGTAATAGCAAAGCAAATCTGGAGGGAGAGTTGCGGAAGGGAGAGAGGTGATAGAAATTTAGAGAGAGAGAGAGAGAGAGGAAGATACAAAATAGAGAGATGCGAGAGACGCGTACCTGAGCTTGGGCTTCAAAGGTGCGAAGGCAGAGCTGAGGATTTGCGGGAAATTGAGTTTTTGTGGGGTTAAAATCAAGTTGATCTATAAACGTACGAAAATCTTGAAAATAGACGGTCTAGATAATGTGTTTCAAGATGCACTATTTTAAGAACTCAAAATCTTTTTTTTTTCATAATCATCCATCTCGATGTCAAGATGATCAATTAGAGGGTTTTTCAATATTGAAACAACATTCTCCTATGGATTTTTTAGACGCATTTGTAATTCTACATTTTAATGTTGCAACTTTATATAAACTTTTCCATATATATATATATATATATATATATATTCAATTTAGACCGTTGGGCTCATTTTTTCTTGTAAGTTCATTGGCGCCAAGATCTACAGTAAAATCTTATGTATTTGTTTAAAATAATATAGTCTGATCTTTTTTATCGATTTGCATAATATTAGGACAGAGAGTATTCATTACTTTGTAATAAATTCTGTATACTATTGCTAAATTCTGAGAACCATGCATCATATTGAATCCATGAGTTTTTAAATTGATAGACAATATATCTAATATGTTTGGATCTATTAAAGAAACAGAAAAATTTGGAAAGCAATTAAAGTATATTGGTCCACTACATAGGCTGGATTCGACCATACCTAGGAGTGAATCTGCAAAGTTATTGTGTCTTGTATCTCTTAAGCATACAAGCACAGAAGTGTTTAACCCTAGGCGGGTTAAAGGTTTCATGGCTATTTGTATTAACCCAATGTGTAAATATTTATAATTATTTTCTTTATGTTTTTCAATAATTTTTCTTGAGAGTAGTTGAAAGTCTTCTTGATTCTGAGTTACAGATAAACTTTCTTCTACTGTTTTTATAGCATAACCTAATTTGAATTTAAATGATCCTTTTTGATAAATATCTTTTATTGGTACCTTAGGAATATTCCAATTCTGAAGATGATCTTCAATATCATTTATAATAATATGTTCCTTATTTTTAACTCTTAATGTCTGAGGTTGAGTTGCAATATTACCTTTAAGATTCCTAATTAAATTTGCCATCTGTAAGTTGCGGATAATGACAATCTGGACGATCAAGGGTCCAGCGTGTTCCCCTAAGCGGCTCTTCCTGGCCTTGGCTGGTACTTTGCATAGACTTATCCTTTCGTCTCTTGCCTTAACTCTCGGACCAACTTTCTTAGATGTAAATTTAAGTAGGTTTCTACAGTAATATTGTAACTTTTTACTCTTAACAGTTTCCTATTTTACTGTTTGGCTCTTATACCAAAACGCGCCAAGATCTACAGTAAAATCTTATGTATTTGTTTAGAGTAAATATGTGAATATTAAACTGTTATATTTGACTATTTCTTATAAAATTTTGTAAAAATTTAAACAGAATAAAATTATGCAGATAAAGGGTAGAATTGATATATCAATGACTAACCACTGTGTGTGATTGAAATCTCCTATTTTAAAACTAAATAATATTTTAAATTGCATGATAGCAATATTTCATTCTTATGGAAATTGTATAAGCAACAAACTATATTCAGATTGAAACAAACTATTATAAACTGTATTCAATCTGTATTCATTCAAACTGTATTCAAACTATTACAAGATGATTACAAATGGAACTAAATAACACACTTACTGTTTACATATGCAATAACTGGAAAATAGTTTCTAATGTTGCGGGCAATAGGAAGGAAGAGAATGCAGATTGCAATCACACATACTGTTATAAAAATAAGGAGGAGAGATAGAACCTGGTAGGTAAAATGAGTTATGAAGCTATGAGGTCAAGATAGCTTGATGAAGTATCTTCGAGAGAGAGAAGAAAAGGAAATCAGAGAAGAAAAGAGAGAAGAGGGAGAGTAGTTGAGCGGAGCAGAGCTAAGAGGGAAAGCTCGGAGAGGCTTGCGGCCTGCAGAATGACTTACGACCTTCCAACTGGTTTGCGACCTGAGGGAGGAATGAGAGGGAGCCCCCTCTTATATAGAAGAGTTTGCTTCGTGATGAAGCAAAGGAGTGAGAGGATGTGATGAGACCGAAAGGAGGAAGAGGACATAAAGTAGAAGCGGAGAAGACATAAAGTAAAAGCAAAAGAGGAAAAAGACAAAAAAGATAAAAGATGATGCGTAAAAAAGCATCATGTACAGTGACTTTTTTGTTTCTTATGACAGTGGCCACAGTAAAAGGCATCTGTGAACAGTGGCTTTTTGTCATCTTCTGTCGGTGGTGATGGTGAAAAGGCATCTTTGGACAGTATGTCGGTGGCTTCTGCCGGTGGCTTTTGTCTTATATGTCGGTGGCATAGTAAAAGTATTTTGGTATAATCTGTGTATGTCAGTGAGGTACTATGGAGCATCTTTTAGGGTCTTTGGCTGAACTCATCTGGGTCTTCTTCTTCTGGGTCTGTTTCTTCTTCTGGATCGGTTTCGTCGAGTTGCAAATATTGATTGGTGTGTAATGGTGAGGATTGTACGGTTTCGTCTGATTAAACCGGTTTTCGTCCTGCTTCTGCGAAAATTTCCTTCATTTGTTGTTCTAACATTTCTTTGGAAGCATTTGGGTTGGATTGAAGCATATTTCGTAGGTATGTGGGAAAATCAAATGAAGCATTGGCAATATTATGGTTCTTTGACTTGGGTGATATATAGGTTTTTGTGGAGGTATTCTTTTGGGGACTATGGTCGTGGGATCCATATTAAAAATATCCCACCACTTGACTGAGATGGTTTTGCCCAGTCTGGGAATGTAGGTATGGTCGGCTGTATTATTAACAGAGATAGTATATTCCCATTTCATAATCCATGGGAGTTGATATAAGGCCACAAAGTAAAGGTGATTGTCTATATCATTATTGCTATTATTGAATTGTGCAAATTGTTCCTGCACTTTTTGGAAAGCAGGAGGTAAAATTGAAGTGGTTGATCCCCAAACTAAAAACCAATTTTTAAACCAGTTGGGGAATCGTTCAAAAACAGGTAATCGAAACTGGATATACCAGCTATGAGTATTGTTTGGATTTTGGTAATAAAATATTTTATGCCAAGCATCTATGTATTCGGCATATTTGTAATATTTGTATGAAAAATCGAGGTTGTGTAATTTCTTTCCTTGAGCAGGATTACATCCCCACTCATCATAAGAGAGTAGTTTCTTAATTTGGACTTTGGAGTAAGCAATGACTCGAGTATTCTGTTGGTAATAATGGACAACAGAGATAGATCATGTTTCCATGAGAATTGCTTCATAATATTCTCTGGTTTTGACTCCATTGGTTGGATTTAAATGATTTATCAAATATAATGGAGCAAGCTTGATGGGGTCTGTATTTATGTGATGGTCATCAATGGTGATGTCCATAAGGTAAGCTCGTTCAATGTATAAAGACCTAGGCAAATTAGGCCTTTGAGTGGATTTGGATTGTGCTTGCGAATAAGAAGGAGTAGAAGTATTAGCATCAGGGTAAGTAATTTGGTGAATAGGAGAATTAGAAGGTGAAAGAGTTGCCAAAGGCGAGAATTCACCTTCGAAGGGTATTATATTCAGTGGGCGTTTGTCGTTGCGAGAATTGCTACGAGAACCCATGGATTTAGGTGAAGATGATAGAGTAGTATTATTTCTATTAGCTTCAAAGAGCTGTAGTGCAGTGAAAGTGGTGATTCTTTGTCATTGGCGTCAGTGTTGCCCCCCTGCAAAAATTCACGGGTAAGAAAATCAGGAAGAGAATTGGAAGACCCGGGAAGGTGTTCAATAGTAAAATCAAAGGCGGACAGGATGGCCTACCAGCGAGCAAATATTTGTTTAGAAACAAGATTTTGAACATCTTTTTGCATAATATCTTTGGCGGCTTTGCAATCAGTTCGTCTGAGAAATTGTTGATATAGAATATCACTTTGAAATTTTGTAACACAATGAACAATGGCTAATAATTCCTTTTTGACAATGGAATAGTTTTGCTGAGTTGGGTTCCAGGCTTTCGATGTATACCTGAGTAGTTGTTCCTGATTATCAATGCGTTCCTTGAGAATACTACCCAAGCCTATTTCTGAGGCATCACACTCTATTATTTTGAAAGCAGTAGGATGAGGAAGAGAAAGGCAAACAAGTGTTTTGACCTTTTGCTTAATTAGTTGAACTGCTTTAGTATGAATATTTATCAAAGGTAAAGGATGTTTTTTCAATCTATCATGTAAAGGTTTAGCATCTATGGCAAGATGAAGATAAAAATTACTTACATAATTTAAACATCCTAAGAACCTTTGAAGTTCTTTCTTGTCTAGTATCTGATCAGGGAATCTATCAGCAAATTGGATAGATCTATCTATGGGAATAATTGTACCATGATGAATCATATGTCCTAAGAACCTAATATTGGTTTTAAACAAAGTTATCTTTTTTGTCGATACAACTAATCCAGCATTCTGGACTGCATGTATAAAAGTATTAATATGTTTAATATGTTAGTCTATAGATTCAGAAAAGATTAGGACATCATCAATATAAACTATCATGAATTGGTAGTAAGCATTAAAGACATCATTCATTATTTTCTGAAATTCTGATGGAGCATTTTTTAAACCAAAGGGCATTACATTCCATTCATATTGTCCAAATGGCACATTAAATGCTGTTTTATATTTATCTTGTTCTTGAATTTATATTTGCCAATATCCAGATTTCATATCGAATTTGGAAAAGATACAAGCATTGGCTACTCTATCTAGTAAATTTTTTTTATTGGGGATAAGATATCTAATCCATCTTAAAACTTTATTAAGAGGTTTATAGTTTATCACTAATCGAGGAACTCCTCGTTCTTTTTCAACATTTTTATTGACATAAAAA